AAGCTAGAGTCTTTGGGAAGAGGGATTCTTATTTGAGAAAATACTTCCATAACATTGGCCTCTAGACAAGTCTGTGGGGGCATTTTCTTTATTAATCATTAATGTGGGAGGGACCAGACAACTGTGGATGATGATACCATGGATGTGTGGTCCTGGGTTGTATAAGAAAGCAGGCTGAGCAAGCAATGGGAAGCAAGATAGTACTCAGTGTTCCTCCATGGCTTCTGCTTCAGTTCCTGCCTCCAGGTTGCCTTGAGTTCCTGCCCTGACTTCCCTTCAAGATGTACTGTAGCCTGCAAATGGAGATAAACCTTTCCCTCCCCAAGTAGTTCTGGTTCAGGTGTTTATCACAGCAATAGAAGACAAACTAAGACAAGCTTACAAAGATCAACCATCAACTACCTTAGTAGTCATCAAAAGTCTCTTTCATATTACAATAGCCAAAGCCACCTACATACTCTATACAATCTCCATTAAAATTCTAATATATAGAAAAAAAATCCTAAAATCCAAATTGTCAAAATGAACCTGAGAAGGGAAGACAAAGCTGTAGACTTGCCGGCTTCAAAACATAGTACAAAGCTACGGTAATCAAAACAGCATGGTACAGCTGTAAACTCAAGACCTAAAAGGCAGGAGAACACAACAGAGAGTTCAAAAAGAAACCCTCATCAATACAGTCAAATTATCTGTGACAAGGGAACAAAGGTGACGCAGTGTTGGGGGAGAAAACAGCCCCCTCCACAATGGTGCTGGGAAACCATATTTCCACATCCAAACGGAATGAATTTAGACCCATACTGTACACCATGTACAAAAATTTACTCAAAGCAATTGACAAGTAAACTTAGGCCCTAAAACCATAAAAGTAGAAGAAAGCAAGGAACCATTGGATTTGGCAAAGATTTCTCAAAAAGGACACTAAAATCACAGGTAACAAAAACAAAATATGGGCAGCAGGGGCAGCATTGCACTTAAGAACATGTATGTAGAGGGGGCAACCAGATGGCTCAGTGCATACAGAGGCTTGATGCCAGCTTGAAGATCTGAGTTTGAACTCCAGAAATCTTGGAATGAGAGAACTGATTGTTGCCCCCCCCTCTCTCTCACACACACACACCTCCACATGTACACTGAGGCACATGCACACACATCTACAAACATAAAAATAGATGGCTAGATGGAAAACAATCAAAAAGAACTCCTGGGCAGCAAAGGAAGCAATGCTGAGAGTGAAGATTACCTATGTGGACAGAGAGGGCATTTGCAATCATCTGCTACTAAGACAGACACATCCACACACAAACAAAACGCTTTTGTTTTCTTTTTAAAGAATGGGAAGTTAAAACACTGGGCCCAAGGATTACCAGTCAGCCTGTTTGAAAATGGTTCAGCATTGTGCTAGAAATGGTTTTTAATCCGTTGTACCTCCAAAGTTCCTACCTTTTATTTTTATCATCTGCCTTGTTTTTTTTTTCCACTGAATGATCTGTCTTCCCAAGGTAATAAGTCTTAACTACATCCTCCTTATTATGACTGAAAAATAACTTGCAGAGTGGCCATAACAGTTTTCATCTAACTTAAGATGCCTCAACCAGTATGATTGACACTTCTGCCTGGATGGTTCTTTGCTGAGGTGGGCAGTGCTGTATATACGCTACCTGTGGGTCATGGTTCCCTTTGGGGTCAAATGACCCTTTTGCAGGGGTTGCCTAAGATCATCATAAAACACAGATATTTATATTATGATTCATAACAGTAGCAAAACTACAGTTATAAAGTAGCAACAAAAATGGTTGGGGTTCACCACAGCATGAGGAGCTGTATTAAAGGGTCACAGTGTTAGGAAGGCTGTAAACCACTGCTGTAAGAGTCCTCCACAGCAAACACCTCCCCACCCACTGCCTCAGGACTAGATGCCAAGAACACACTTTCCCTAAGTCATAACCATTAAAAATAGCTCCAGGTATTGCCAAGGTTCCCTGGGAAATAACGCCCCAGAGAAGATCACTGTTCTATGCATTTTGCTTATGTTATACATTTAGGTTTTATTAACTTTGTCCGAATTTGAAAACAACACTGATTTTGAAACTCTAACCTACGGGGTAAAAACAACACACATTTTCAAATTACCTTTCAAGAAGATATTGCACTTTTGAAACATTGTTGTCTTGTCACAGGTGTGCCACCCCCCCTTCCCACCCCACACCCCACACCCCACACCCCCACAGCAAGGGAAAATGTTTATAACACAATTGAAAGAACATAAATACCATTTCCTGGCTTGTCAGTCTTTTAAAAATCATGCCTAGCGATTAGCAAAACAAAATATTACCTTTCCCTTTAAATATAACTCTTTGATTGCTAGCCAGGTTGGTAACATTCACTGTGTTTATTGGCTAATTTAATTGTTGCTTTAGGACCTGCCTATTAATGTCCCTTGCCCATTCTTGATTTCATAAGAGCTGTTAATTCTGCCTCCTGGTATGTCAATCAGCCTTTGTTGCTATGACAAAACCTTAGAAAAAACAACATACAGGAAGAAAGATTTATTTGGGTTCAAAGGTTCAGAGAGTTCAGTACATAGACTCTTGGCCGTTCCGAGGCCAGTCACAGTGGTAACATATGACAGAACGAAGCCTCTCAGCTCTTTAGACGCAGGAAGCAGAGGGTGAGGAGAAAAGGCTAAAAGGCTAAAAACAAGGTATGTCCTCAAAAGCCATGCCCCCGTGACCTACTTCCTCCAACCAGGCCCGATCTCCTGGTTTTCATCATCCTGAAATAATGCCATCAATTATGCACACACCAGTGGATCGATCCATTAATGAAGTCAGCCCTCATGATCCAATCATGGCCCAGCCTTCAACACAGGAGCCTGTGGAGGACTTTCCTCTGCAAACCATAACATCCGGTTTGCCTTTATTTTTTGTTATTTGTAAACTTTATGCTGTGTTTTAAACCACATGCTTTTGTGCTTTCCAATCGACAAATTATCAGCCGTTAGACTATGGTTTTACCTTAATCATTTCATAAATGAGTTTTGTTTTCTCTATTAACTTAAACTTTTATTCTTCCATGGCTTTCATAGTCCCATGCTGAACCTTCTCCTTTTCTCTCTTCTCTCTTTCTTCCTCTAGAGTAGTGTATCTCAAACCTGATTGCAGGATGGATCTCTGAATTCTGTTTAGGTTTGCAATGGAATGAGAGATCCAGAATTTTTAGCATGCTCCAGGTGACATCGATGTCCTTAGACCACACTTAGGGTCACTAAGTGCTAAATCTTCAGGACCTCGGGCCTCTGATTACCTACCCCATCCCCTGACTGGTTTTTCTTATCTGGTGTGAACTTCCAGGACAGAGATTGCAACTTTTTCTCACCCTTTCATTTTCCTGGAATAGGAAGGGCAATCCTTGTCAGTACTGATGAAGCCACTGACTCCCAGTCTCCAGCCACAAATCACTACAGCAGTGGCTCTCAGCCTTCCTAACCCTGCGACCCTTTTACAGTTCCTCAGGTTTTGGTGACCCCCCAACCATAAAATTGTTTTCGTTGCTACTTCATAACTGTAATTTTGCTACTGTTATGAATCATCATGTAAATATTTGATAAGCAGGCTATCTGGTCGTGACCACATGTTAAGAACCGCAGCTTTAAACCATTAATTCTTTCGTTATTATGTATGTGCCTGGTGGGGTCATAGTGGGGAGGAGGCGGGAGGCAGAAAGGATCACGTTGCACCTGTGGAGGTCAGGCGATACCTGTGGAGGTCAGAGGACACCTGTGGAGGTCAGCGGACAACCTCAGGGAGTCTAGTCTCTCCTTCTACCTTTACGTGGGTGGGTTCTGAGACTCAAATTCTGGTGGCCAGTTTTGCAACCCAAGCAAATTTTACCCTCGGAGCATCTCTCCCACCCTCAAGGACCCGTTTAGTAATAACCCCCTCCTTTCGTGCTCCGGGAAGGAACTTCCACCCCATCAGTTTGGGATGGTCCCTGTCGTCACTATTTTAAAAATCTGTTCACGAGTGTTGTAACAAATCAGTAGTTTTTGAAGTGTGTTTTCATCAGACCCTTGCAGGAGTCGGTATTTCTTTAATAGGGTTCTGCAAATCCACCGGACACTGGGACGGTCAGTGTATGTGGAGTCCTGTAGAGCACTATAGCCCGTGTCACGAACCACTACTCATTAGTCACGGTCTGTGTTCAGCGGGATGGCCCGTGTCACGATCCACTTCAAAACAGTCATGACTTGTGTTCTGTTTGCTGCAAATACGGCCCACCCCACGCACCCGGAAAGCAGCATTTTAGGAAGAAGCGCTGGAACTAGCCTGAGGAATCCGAGTAGCGACAGCGGCTCTGCTTTTGATCTGCGAGTTGGTCGCAAACTTAACTCTGATTCTATCTACTTTTGTTGGACACGTTCCCGTACTGCACAGCTCGGCTAAAGCTCACACACAAGTTCTTCTTAAAGCCCCCACCCCACCTCACCCCAACCTACCCTACCCCTGGTTTCCACAATTACAGCACAGGGTTGGAAGCCTGGCCGCGTTTGGGCTCCAGGTGACCCGC